GTCCCAACGTGACTCTCTCTTCGTACTTGCACTACTACTCCTACTCCATAGCTCTTCAACAAAACCACTTCTACCACCGATCAGCACCGCCGACCTGGCGGCGTTGCATGAAATCAAGGACTCCCTCGCAGACATTCCTTCCGGCACCACCGCCGCTGCTTTCTTCTCCACTTGGGACTTTACCTCGCCTGACCCTTGCTCCTCCTTCTCCGGCGTCACCTGCTCCCTCAGACGGGTCACCACTCTCACTCTCGGCACCGGCTTATCGGACTCCCCCGGCCTCTCCGGCAAACTCTCCCCCTCCCTCTCCAAACTCACCGAGTTAACCCAACTCGTCCTCTTCTCCGGCATTGTCACCGGTCTCATACCTACCCAACTGGGAAACTTCAAGAATCTCAGAGTCATCTCTCTCACCAACAACCGCTTAATTGGTCCAATACCCACCACCATCTCCACCCTACCCAACCTCCACACTCTCGATCTCAGCAACAACCAACTCACTGGTTCTGTCCCCGCCGGAATCTCCGAGTTAGCTCAATTAAGGGTCCTGGTTTTGGCCGGAAACAGGTTAACCGGCGAGGTTCCCCACTTGCCGGCTCAGTTACTCCACTTGGATCTGAAGAGCAACAAATTATCGGGAATGCTGCCGAGTCCAATGCCGTCGTCACTCCGTTACTTGTCAGCATCGATGAACCAAATGTGGGGTCCACTCAACGGCCTTGAATCACTCTCAGATTTAGTGTACCTCGACTTAAGCATGAACCACTTCAATGGGGCCATCCCTTTCTCTCTCTTCCGTCCCTCTCTCTCGTCAATGCTTCTCCAACGGAACAATTTGTCTGGTGGGGTCCCTCCTCTACTTCCACCACCACCATCACCACCCACCTACCCGCCGGGATCAATGGTGGACCTCAGTCACAACTTCCTAACCGGAGAATTGTCTCCAGTTCTGGCCGATGTGGAGAGTGTCTTCTTGAATAACAATCGTCTCATCGGAACTGTACCAAAATTGTACGTTGAGAGCGTGTACAAGGGAACCACCAAAACATTGTACTTGCAACACAATTATATAACCCATTTTCCGGTGGAACCCGGATCGGCGTTGCCGGACTCCGTGTCATTGTGCTTGAATTACAACTGCATGGTACCACCGGTGGGCCTCACGGCGTGCCCGGAAAGCTCTGGAGGGCTGCTTTCGAGGCCATTGTGTCAGTGCTCCGTGTTCAATAATGGAAGCTCCATTGGTTAACTTTTACAGGACCACTTCAATGCGTTGCCTTACACCTTTCTTCTTTCTTTGGGTGGTCGTCATTAGAATTCAAGTTTCTTGACGAAGATGTTTTGATGATGATGTATAAAATAGCTTGAGAATTATATGTATTTCCTTCACATGTGCACATAGTTGCAGGAAGATAAGTTTACATTATAGTGTTGATTTCTGTTGTATTTTGTTTGAAAATTTCATGAAGATTTTTACAGGAATACTGTGATAATGGTATTTGGGAAAATTAATATATGGTTATTTTTCTGTTTGTTTGCATTCTGCCCAAATCTTATTCTTTTCTTATGACTACTCTATTCCTCAGATCACTCAAACGCAGTGACTACTCTATTCCTCAGATCACTCAAACGCAGTGCATCCGCACTACCGTTAAACTATTCATTAAAGATTAATCTCTTATCGGTTCATTCAAAATTAAATCATTCAAACCGCGATTAGAGATAAGGCTCTCGTGATCTGATCCAAGAAGTTATCAAAATTCAGATTTAAAATATTTAAATTTACAATTTTTACAACTAGAATCATCCGTTGCGTTGTAATGAGGAATTTTTTCAAATAATGTTATACTGACCAAATTTTAAAACTAAATCATAGCTGAACTATTGGCACAAGTTTTTTCAAATCATAGATGTCCCAGCTGAGAAAGGTAACTATTAAATTGAGTGAAAATTTTGCTTTGGAGTGAGACCCATGTCTTGGATCTTGATGCTGCAATTTTGTATTTTATTGCTTGCTGTTTTACTTGCAACTGTTGCTAATGAATATTTTAGAACAAATTACACCCTCACCTTAGTATTTCTGCTAAATTTAAGAGATTTCCCATTATCTTGACTGTTACATTCCACTTTTTCATGTGTTTTGGATGTGTATTTTAGAAGATACCCTTCCATTGGTCAATCTACTTAAAACTGTGTAGCACATCAACTATTACTCCAAAAGTTTAAACTATCGGCAATAATATAATATAAGGTTAATAGCATTTTTAATCTCTAAAATATATTTTTTTTTATCAATTTAGTCTTCATTGTATTAATTTTGTTAATTTAATCATTAAATTTTCAATTTGTGTCACTTTAATCACCAATCAGATAATTCGTTAAATTTTTTTACGGACGTGGACACATGTTATTCTTTCAGATGATATCACGTGACCAACACGTGATCATTCAATAAAAAACTTAACGATTTACCTATGAAGGAACCATTTAAACAAGAATTGAATATTTTAGAAATTAAATTGAGAAAATTAATATTTTAAGGACAAAACTAACAAAACGTATATGTTTTAAGGACTAAAAATATTATTAACCTTGTAACTTAAGTATTTAAATTTTTTCACACACCTTGGTGGGCAAAATAAATTTTAGATCAAGTGGAAGCAAGTCTCTAAATTCTCCAAATACTTTAATGCACCCACCTAATTTAATGATGGGTGGGAAGTCTTGGGTGTATAGGGCCTCCCATACTCGTGAACTCATTCATAAAAACGTGAGGCACTTTAATGTTGTCCCTCCTTTGATTTTTCTCACGTTATTTTCCTTAAAACATGATTTTATAACAAAATTAAATCATACAGGGAGGAAAAAAAAATCTTTATAGCTTTTTTTTAATTTTTATGTATAATAAACTACTACAATATCAATATTTATATGTACCTTTTTCGTTTTCTTTTAGTACTTTTTTTGTTATATCTCTCTTTCCATCAGAAAAATCGAAAACTCTCGTGTCTCTTTCTACTAGTCGAATTATTTTTATTTGTTAGAAAAAAAGAAAATTTCCTTTTTTTTTTGTTCAATTTCAATACTTAATACAACATTAAATAAAATAAGTATGCAACTAGAACTCAGTCAAATAGATGCTAACGCCCAAATTTTTGTGCAAATGACTTGGTAACATACTCTAAAGGCTTTGCAACCTTCGATGTTGGTTGACATGGGCGGTCCAAGACTATTTGAAGCATAGAGCGACAACTAGAAATGAGACTTTTTATTTTTAATTTTTTATTTAAAAATTATTTTTTAGATTAAAAATAGTCTAATATTTATTGTGAACTCGATCTTAGGCAAGATTTTATCTATTTTAATTTTAAACAATCATAATCTACTGATTTTAATTTTTATAGTTTAATAAAAAAAAATTTGGTTTACTTTTCAAAATAGAAATAAAAAAAATTCATAACACAAAAAAAAAAAGAATTTGTATTTACTTGAGAATAAGTGAAAGGGAGAGTCTTAGTTTATGAGAGAGAGAGAGAGAGAATGATTTGATTACAAATGAATGGTATGTTTTGGTTAACTAATTAAAATTATTTTTTTAATCCTCAACTTTTTATTTTATTTTTTTCTAAAAAAATTATTTTAGTATATTTTTAATATTATGGGTTGGGTTCATGAGCCCAAACTACTTAAATTTATTTTTAGTTGAGTTTAAATTTTCATAGAATTGTTTTTAAGGCATAAAATCTTATAGATATAAAAATTTTGATTTAGACTAAATATGCACCTAAAAAATTTGGAATTTTCTTGATATACGGGGCCTAAAGCCCAGACTTTATTGCCCTTGTGATAGAGTCGACCCTGGTCGACAACAATCTAATCAATCCCTCTCACTCTTTGATGGACATCTTTCGATTATCGATCTTATCTAACGAGCAAGTTTAGGTCTTTATTCTCTGTCTTATCCTTATTCTCATAGGACGTACAACCATAGGTTCTATCCTTCCTTGCAGATTCCCGCTTTCTGAAGCCTAGAGGGAAAAGGGAAACTGTACATTGCTAGAAAAAAATAATAAAAAATCTTTGTGCAAGTTCTAACCAAATTTATCCATGGTTAAAATATTTCGGATTGGATCTCAATTGCGGTGGCCGGAGGGGGTGCACCCCTATCAACCACGTAAACACACATACTCTACCTTGACGAGTATACAATGAAGAATAATGTTAGACTTCTCTGACCAAATGGTGTTACGCTAGTAGCGTTGTGATGCTCATTAAGCAATTTACAAACTCATTTTGAACTCGTTTTAAATTCTTATTAAGTCACATAGCCACATTAATTTGGTCATGGCATTCTGGTTTTATGCTAAAAAGCTGCGTGTCCATTGTTTTGTATGCCATCATCTACATACTGGAAACATCATAGGAACAGGCTTGTTAAGTCTTTTGATGTCTTCGTAACTTGAAACTTTCAATTTAGGCGTTCTTATAATGAAAATACCCCAGAGAAAACAATCATATTTCCCTCATAATATGCCAGAAGCACAGGCATTGGTGTTACTCATGAGAGAGAGAGAGAGAGAGAGAGAGAGAGATTTTAGGGTCAATTTGGTCCCTCAAGATTCTAATTTCTACCTCTTTGATCCAATCGAAATCTACAGCTAAAATTGACTAATCAAAATGGTCCATGTGTCTCACGTGGCCACGCTTGAAAGGTACTTTATAGATACTTAAGAAAGTAAAGTGACACAAATTATAAACATGAAGAATAAACTGACAATAAAAAACGTTATATATCTTAAAATATTAAAGTGATCTCTTAAACATGGTCACACATGAAACACGTGAATAAATTCGTTAGTCAAATTAAAACGCTTTTTTTTATTGAATCAAAGTCATACAAATTAAAAACTGACACAATTAAAAAAAATAAAATCAAAGTGACACAAAGCATATACTTTAATGTCCAAGACTCTATTTCAAGAAACATTACCATTAAGACTTAATAATAAGCCACTCTTATTTCATCACAAGTTAATACATGGAGAATATGAACTCCATTGTTGGGGCTTCCTTCCAAACACAATATCACATCATACTAATTTATTATCAAGAGTTCAGCAGCAACTGTAAACTTTCAAGCCTAACGAATTACAGGGACCCTTGTGACAATACCATTTGTATTAACCCAAACACGAACCCTATCGCAACGAATATCTGTGGTGACTGTTGATCCTACTTCCACAATCACAGCATTGACCGAAGGATTTTCCCTCTCGATCGTTGCTGCAGCAGTTTCTCCGGGTGTCCCGAGGAGCTCGGGCCATGAACTCTTACCTATATAATAACAAGATCATGTAGTAGCTTAATATATATATATATATATATATATTCCTTAAGCTCTAAAAAAGTACCGAGAGAACTTATGCTTTACCTTGTCCTGGACATTCTGCTGCCATCTTTACTGCTATGGTTTTCTCTTGCTATGCTGCCTTCTATTGCTTTGCACTTGATTTGTACATGAATGGTGTAATTGAGAGGTTATTTATAGACTGCTTGTGGTTGGCCTTTTTGGACTTTCTAACCAAGATGTCGAAAAGGTTGAAATCTTGCAACATAGAATGGTCTTTTGTTTAAAAATTTAAGGCAAATTATACTCTCACCCCCTAAACTATAGACTTGATGTCTCCTTCCCTCTTGAACTATTGAAATTTTTATATTACCCCCTCAACTACTTGAATTATTTCAGATAGCCCCAATTGCAAACGTCCGCTATCTTTTAAGACAGAAATTTCCCCATGTTGAGACAAAGCGATAAAATTGCATAATTCGGAAGACAAAATAAAATAATTTTTCTTTAAATATGTAATAGTCGGTAATAATTGAGGCATAAAAAAGGGGTCATAGTTGACAGAGTGAAAGTATATTTGTCCAAATTGTGGTTTCAAAGATTAAAAGTCGCATTTTTGGGCACTGACATGTTGAAGAAAGTTCGGATTTAAAATAAATAAAATTAAGACCAAAAGAACCATCATGTTAGCGCCACATCATATGACTTTAGTTTTCTTTTCTTTTTTTGTCAGTCTAGAATTACCTAAGTACACCATGATTCACAACCATTTGAAAATTTCAACATGCAATTTCTGACTTTTGATCTTTCAATGGGCAAAATGGAAAATGTAAATCTTTAAGGGGGAAAATTTTCACCAGCCCCAATTTTGTCAGTGTGAAGAGAAGTAGGATTTAGCTGAAGTTTGCATCAAGTTTTCAAAAGGATTGGGCTGCGGCATGAAGACGCACAACAGTAGAAATGTCCAACTAGACTCAATATTGTAGATGTAGTTATCATTTTGAAGACCACAAGGTTGGGGTGTTGTTTGCTCCTTTCAAGCCACCTCAATGGCTGCTAGGCTAACCTTTCATAATTTTAAAAAGGAAAAAAAAAATTAACATATCAATAAGGGTGCATATAAATCAAACTGAGGGGCTCGGCTCGTTAATTAATGAAGGGTATTTTTGAATTGTGGCAAGTTGCGGACATCTTGTTCAAGCTTGACTTGTTAATTTTTTGTGCAAACTTGGATTTGGTGCGATTCAGTAGTTTTCTTTCTAAACTCGGGCTCAGCTCGACTCATTAGTTTTCTATCCAAACTTGGACTCGGCTTGTCTCTCCCCATTCTTCATCTCCCTCCCTTGTAATAGTGTCTAGCCAAAAAAAAAATGGTTTGGTCTTAGATGGGGTGTGATGGCACCCGTTAGCCACTGAATAGACTAAGGTGAAATTTGGCATTACCAATCAGAAATTGAAACCCAAAAAAGATATATTGAGAAGATAATTTCCTAACGTTATAACGCTCATCTAACACCCTTAATCATGCTTAATCATGGCTTTCACGAGACGAGAGTCAACAAAGAACTTAACGGTACCAAGAAAAAGCAATTTTCCTTGCAGTGACTCAATCACGCCCGCACAATTCGGATGATCCAGAATGTAGGCAGTTGCGGGCGTGGCTCATTCATCACTCACGAGGAAAATGGTTTTATTGTCACTATACATATCACAAGACGAAAGTGAAGGAAGAACTTAACAGAATAGAGCTGTGAGTATTAAAATTGAAAATTTTCATGACTAGACGAAAATTTCCAATCACATCTTCATCAGGGTACTCCTCAGTCACACTGAAGTATCTTCTTCCAACAGTCTGCTTGTCCATAGCTTGTAAAAGAGTTTGTCATGAGAGAGAGAGAGAGAGAGAAAGAGAAAAAGAATTGGAGTGAACTCTGAAGTATCAGCAATTTATTTGCTGGGAGGGGGTTAATGGCCGCTTCTACAAGTAGCTAATTTTTTAGATTGTTCAGGAAAGTAGCCGTTGCAGTATGCCAACGGCTATATTTTGAATAAAGGAGAGTTATTTGAACATTTAAGACTGCTTGGGGTAGGGAAAGAAAACTTGACTGGCCTTAATTTTCCTGCAGGTTCCTGCTAGCAGATGTCCTTTTAAGCATTTTCCTTCTTCAAAACTTGTACATTTCTACCAATTTCTTTTTTTGGGTTAATTGCAAGTTACACTCCGAAAGATAGTTAGAATCTCAATTTATACCCTTAAAGATCAAAAATCTCAATTTATACCCTCAAAGATAGAAATTTGTATCAATGTGCACCCTCAAAGATAAAAATCTCAATTTGCATCCTCAAAGATAGAGTTTTGTATTAATGTGCACCTAAAACTAAATTGATAAATTATACCTAGATCCCCTCATGCTTGTCACTTAATCATTTGGACCCCTTCACATTTAGAATATTACTCCTACATCTCATGACATTTGTGCACGTATAACACGTAATCCTTTTTTATTGATATCTGTTAATATAACCGTTAAAAAATATGATTTTATCCTAATAAAAAATTATAATAAGACCAAAAATTATAATGATTTTATCTCATGACGTTTGTGCACATTAATACAAATTTCTATTTTTGAGGGTATAAATTGAGATTTTATCTTTGGAGGTGCACATTGATACAAATTTTTATCTTTGAGGGTGTAAATTAAAATTTTTTATCTTTGGGGATACAATTTAAAATTTTAACTATCTTTTAAGGTACAACTTATAATTAACCCTTTTTTTTTTACCAATTTATCGTACCAACCGATGCGGTGCAACCAAAAAGATCTAATAAGTACTTTACACAATAAGATTCACTGATCCAACAATCCTCGTGACAATACAAAAATGTAAGTACAAAACAATTGATCAATGTAACATTATTGTGTTGCTAATTCAATATAGAGTAGTGTTAGATTGATTGAAAAATAACACCAAAAACAAAGACAAAGGGTGTGACATTATTGCAATGGAATAAATTTAATTTTCAAATATGTAAAAATGGAACAAACAACGTTATTATGTTTTTTTTTTCACTTTTTTTAGTCGGTCAAGCATTAATTCTCTTTTAAAAAAGACAAACAACTACTATTACATCAATTTTCCATTTTTTGTCAAAGGTTAGGATATCATTAGTTTTGTTTTTGTTTTTTTTTTTAATGTATTGTGGTGAAAGGTATTTAGGTCAATTTATGCGCACCTTAACTAATCTCATTTCCAGTTCAATCAAAGCAAGTCATTCAAGTCAAGACTAATGCTCCGTTTGGTATGATGGAAAAATGAAATGACAAAAAGTTAAAATGATGAAAAGTTGAAGGAATAAATAAAATATCTTGTTTGGTAAGAAAGGAAAATGGGAAGGATGCAAAAATAAATGGATTAATTTTTCTACCAACTCACCAAAATCAATCCCTCCAAAATTGGAAAGAAAGTGGATGAAAATTTAATTATTTGTGTTAAAATGTATCTTATTTGTCTATATATTATGTATACATTAATTTCATATAAAAATATAATGATAAAATATGTATTATTATTATATATATATATATATATATATATATATATATATATATATATATATATATTAAAAAATTAAAAATTAAAATTTTAAATTAAAAAAAATACTTCTTAATAAGGGATAAAAAATTTTGACTTAACATGACTCGAACTCGACACGAATTTGGTTATAATTCAACACGAACTTGAAAATGACTTGATTCGCAAATAAGAAATATAAAAAACTCATAATTTTATGACTCAACACGAATCTAACACGACACAAGTCGATTGTCACTCCTAATCTTAGTCAACTCAAAAAAAAAATTAGTCATTTTTATTTTTCATCTATCTAAAAAAACATAAAGGAAGGAAAATGTATCATTCCTACTTTCCATCTTTGAAGGATTAAAAGTGTATCCCTCCTACTTTCTATCCTTCCTATCAAACGGAGCATAAAGAATTCAAGTTTTGAATTCAAAATGCCTGAATTTATGGTATGATTCATTGAACCATAACACACCACATTAGTTAAAAAAATCTTAAAAATGTATTTAATAATAATTAGGACAGAAACTGACAAATCTTTTTAATAATATCCTAAAATTATTAAAAAAAACAATAAAAAAATCTGAATTCTTCAGTCTATCCGGAACTTCTAGCTCTAAAAAATTGAACTCAAAAGTTCCAGGCACCATTACATCAAGACACATTATTCTCTATCGTTTTAACTAAGTTAAATCAGTAATTCAAAAACAATTAATTTAATTACATCAGAAAGTTCAGAAAGAAAAACAGAATTATGCAAAGTTCAAACAGTTGGCCAAGCTGTTTCGTCCAGTCAAACGATTCCCAAGCCTGAGCAAATATGGAAACGGCCTGATTTAGCATCTCCCTTGATTGGTGTTGCCGACGACTATACACAACGTTTGAAAATAAGCATTAAACCTTCAAATGGTGATACCAGCGCAGGTTGTCAAACCGCACAAGTTTAGCAAATTACTATCATATGTAAGAAAGCGCCGGTACGAACACAGAGATACGAAAAAATTTAAAAATATAAGACACAGATAGATATTGATACGGTTATTAAAATAATATAATATATTTTTTAAATAATAATAGAATTGTAATATATTAAAAATAAAGCATATATTATAACAATATTAATTATAAGACCTAACAAATATTATTTTTTTGATTAAAATTGAAATAGATCAAATTAAATAACTATCATTTTCATCAAATATCTTGACATCTATTAATATTCATAGTATACACGTTACATAACAAAAAATATATTACAAAAAAAATATGTAAAAATCACACTCTTTTCAATAATTAAAAGTTATTTTTTTAATAACAAAATTTCTAGTCATGTCTTAACCGTGTCTTGACCATGTCTAACTAAATTCACTATTCATAACACTTCTAACTATGTCAAACATGTGTCCAGCTGCATCCTGACCATGTCCAACACTGTCACGATACCCCTGTGGAAGTATCCTTGCTTCCTAGATCATATGTTTCAATAATCAACCAGAAAATATTAAAATCTCAGCACAATAGACATTACCCCAAAGTATCAGCAGCAAAGAACACAGAACACCACATTATGTTCCTATTTAGTGTCCAATATCTGCCCGATAGTCAATCATATTTCTGTTCAACCATTCAATTCCACCCAAATTGTCAGTAGAGCATAGAGAAGGATATGGTAGTTTAATTTAGATTACGCCTTTGCCCCTTAGATAAACAATGTTATAACGCAAGACTTTTAACCCTTGATCAAGCTAAAAGTAGTCCATATTAAGGCCTTAATGAAGTCCTGAAACACTAACCCATCAAGCATTGGTTAATCTAATCCAAGTTTTTTCCCATCAGACGACAAGCATACGACCCCAAATCCTAATGAACAAAAATTCGTAAAGCCTCTCAATGCCACTAACCACCAACTCAATAAACCCACCCAGTTTCTCAATTCCCCGTAGAGGTCCCTGCCCTCGCCCATTCCCACACTAGCAAGTCTCATTCCCCCTCTCATCTACATTCAACCCTAAACCTTAAATCATAAACCCTATTACATGGGTTTTTCGCAAATCAACTTGGTAATCAAATACCCATACCAGACAATTTTCAATGCCCCTAACCACAGAGCAGTTATGA